TGGGGGACGACATCGCCTGGATGAAGTTCGACAGCCAAGGTGAGTCTCCAGGCGGTCTTCGGCAGCTTAAAACCTAAAAGACTTCTACCTTGATTCGAAAAACTGACGAAGGCTTTTTGTCCTTTTCTGTTTTGTTCAGGCAACTTGCGCGCCATCAACCCTGAGAACGGCTTTTTCGGGGTTGCGCCCGGGACCTCGGCCAAAACCAACCCCAACGCCATGGCCACCATTGTCAAGAACACCGTCTTTACTAATGTTGCGGAGACCAGCGACGGTGGCGTGTACTGGGAGGGAATGGACCAGACCCTTCCTGAGGGAGTCACCATCACATCCTGGAAGAACAAGCCCTGGACTCCAGAGGATGGTGAGAAGCTTTTTGGATTACATGAACAGAAGAGCGGAAGTAGAAACGAAGGCAGCTGTCTACAGAAAAGCCTCATAGCTCCTGAGTCTAAAGCAAGAATGTGTCCATCTCCTGTCCTCGTAGGTGAACCTTGCGCTCATCCCAACTCTCGCTTCTGCACGCCGGCCGGACAATGCCCCATCATTGACCCGCAGTGGGAATCCCCAGAGGGAGTCCCGATTGAGGCGATCATCTTCGGGGGGCGCAGACCAGAAGGTGAGCAGCAACTCAATGGAAAGCTTGAAAGCTAAAACTTAAAAGCAATTGTGACGGCACTAGAAAGAAAAGGAGAAAAAATACCAGCTAGAAAAGTATCAGAGGATGCTCATGTGATTCCCCCCCCCTCCCCCTGGCTTTCTTTCAGGTGTCCCTCTGGTGTATGAGGCTTTCAGCTGGCAGCATGGAGTGTTTGTTGGAGCAGCCATGAGGTCAGAGGCCACAGCTGCAGCTGAACACAAAGGTCAGTATCTGAGCAAGACGTATTTCAGTGGATTCGCTCTGTTTAGAGCTAAACTCACCAGTTCCGCCTCCTCTTGCTTCGTCTATTCAGGAAAGGTCATCATGAATGATCCCTTCGCCATGCGCCCCTTCTTCGGCTACAACTTTGGACAGTATCTCTCCCATTGGCTGAGCATGGCCGAGCGCCCCGGGGCCAAGCTGCCCAAGATCTTCCACGTCAACTGGTTCCGCAAGAGCCCCACATCCGGCTTCCTGTGGCCCGGGTTCGGCGACAACATCCGCGTTCTGGAG